GAGTACCTCGCATCAAAAAATAAACGAAAAGTATTTAGGGATACGAAAGCATGCGAGATATAAGATATCTAATAAGGACTAATAATCATAAAACCTTGCGAAGGTTTCCTTTCCTAGACTTATAGTTCATTTGTAAGATATAAAGACAAACGCCCTTGCCCTACTTCTCACGGTAAAAGAACCTATAATTCTATACATACACCGTTTGAAATTCTTTTTTAATTTATTTAAAATCTGCTACCATTTTAATTATCCCTCTCGCCCAAAATAGATGTATATGGATTTTTCACTTTGAATGTTCATTGAAGAAAAGTATCCTAACGTTTCTCCACTTATCAGACATCAACGGGCAAATGGCCGGCTGGCGGAAGAGCCCAGTTATAGCACCGCTTGCCGCCCGAGTTCACTGACGTTAAGTAAACAAATTATAGCGACCTTATGTAATTTATGTTTTCATTTTACGTCGTTTTAATTTCAATTAAAATCTCGAACTTGATTTAGTTAGGAATAACTGTGATGTGATAATCATTTAAATTACACAATTAGTATTAACTAGAATTGTTGTCAAGTAGTCGATTATGTAAAATTATAAGGCATGAAGAAATCACATTAACATTTAACGCACGTTATTTCTCACGTTTACAATTTTAAAATTCACTCGGATAGCAATATATTGATATTGGTTATTTACGGTAAAATGATTACGGAAATCGTACGCTTTTTTACAACTGCTATTCTTCGAATTTATCATGGTCGAATCGTCTCTGTGTTTAACGTTAAGAAATGTTATCATTCTCAATCAACTTGTACAATAAACTTAAACAAGGAACAAGTTATTTCTTGGGTAAACAAGACGTTATAAGGCTCTTGAATTGTTCCACTTGTTGCGCCGCTACGCCACCTTTTTTAATAAATAGGATGTCGTTCCTATCACTGTGCAAGTCTAGTCTATGAGTCGATTGTTTACAAACAACATTGTCGTCTACGTCAGGAAGTTGAAGATCAACTGGCAAACTGTCTTATATATAAAACGAGAGTCCAAATGACCGCGATATTTCATTCCCTTATATAGGTTTCGTCGTCCGTCGGAACAGCATAATGACTACCTCATACCCAGGTTCCACTGTATTTACAAAAGATCTAATACATGTTTACTATAGCAGTATATTGGTTTAGCACAGATATAAGTTAAAGACATTAGATTGTTATGATGAGAGGTATATCGTCCCGAATGCAGTGCGTGCGAGTCGTGACGTCACGGCGCAGGCATGCAGCGGGCGCAGGCGGCGGGGAGGTGGCACGACGCACGCGCAGCTCGCACTGTTTACAGCGCGAGCGAGCGCGACGTTGCCGCGCCTCCTCTCACTTTCGCGACCCGCACCGCTGCGCGCTGCGACCGTCTAGCGGTGCTCCGCTTTTTTTGGGACCACTTTTCCCCTTCCCGGTTGTCAGCGCCTCGGTAATACTATTGTTTGTGGTTGCTTCAATTAAAATAATCAGGGATTTTTCGTTCATTGAGGTCATTAAACAATGTTCAGAGAATTTGTAACCAAGATTAAATTGGTAACGAGTAATAGTTTTAGCCGTGTTCAATATTTATGTAAATAATAATTGGCGATTTAATAGCATCAACGTAATCTTGTTAGCATGAAAATAATAAGAATTCATATAGTCTTGTCCCGTGCAGTAAGACAAGGTGGCGCAGCTGCGATGCGGGGAGGTCTGCCTGCATCCGGTCGCGCCGCCTCGCTCCGTAGCAACCAAACTCGTGCGATACGCGGCCCGACAAACTTTCTTCCCCTAACAAACTTTGTGACCTCTATCATATGTTGTTGACATTAAACTTTTAATACCACATTTAGTTTTAATATAATATAATAATCGAACAGTTACAGAAGCTATATTTAAATCAATGGCCTAAATATTACTCTTGTCATACTAAGCTTTTAGTAAACTTTAAATTCGCTTCAATGCGACTCGCGTTAAAATATTGTTTTAAGAAAATACGTACGTGCTATTACTAAATGGTACTGAGTACTTACGATATAGAAATAAGTAATTGTTTATATTTCTCGATTATACAAGACCGGAAAATATTTTACCCAGCCAATTGTCTTTCATCTAAAATATTACAATCTTTATACATTATTTTCTTCTGTAAATGCGCCTAGGCGCATATTTCTGCTGTAGTAAGACTTCCACATATTTGGATCGGCAAACGTGACACAATAGAAAGTGAAGCAGCGGGGCGTGCGCGGGCGCATCGCCGATAGAAAGCCGCGCGTCACCGCGGACCCAAACGATCCGCGCATTCTTTCACACGCAGCGCAACGAGCTGGCTGCTCGACATGCAGCCGCTGAACCGTCGTCTCGCCTCAACGCTACTAAATATGATGGATAAATTATCTATATTTTTATTAAATTAATAAGTTTACAAAAATCCATAACATAACATAATTATTTTCCAGAACTAGTGGCACTAAAGCGTCAACTCATATGTTCCGTGCACGCATATTGCATGCAATACACCTATATTTAATTATCATCAATCTTATGCCAAGTGCTCTTCCATTTA